GTGTAATTAAGTTGACTGCAATTTATGAATTATCTAAAGGATTTTCTAAAGTCAAAATATAATAAATTGTTAGAAAGTTAACACCTAATTCTCTGCCTTAAATATTCTGCTTTTGATAACTGCTAAAAACTGGCTTATAGGATAGGTTTTGTTTTTTCAAGATAACTAAATGCTTGTATTTTGCTAATTTGTTGGGCTTTTGACCATTTAGGAAACTGAGTTATAACTAAATCAGCTTATTCAAGTATCTTTTCAGTGATTTTTACATTTAACACCCAAAAATGTGTGGGCTGTATGTCTAAACTTCATTTAAACGCTATGCAATGTTCATAGGGTTAAAGTTATGTAAATTTAATACAAAGTGATCAGCACTTTTCTAATAAAAATAAGTCTATTTGGGGTTACTGACAGTGTCTCCCTAAGCTAATAAAGGTCTAAAAGCTTTGCTAAATCTTACTCCAAAAGTAAAAATTTAAATTAACATATATATGACATCTGTGTAGGTGCAATGCTAATTGCTATTGTCTTTAAATGTGAAATGTACTCATGGTCTCTAAGTATTAGCTTTCAAAAATTAAAACAATGTCATTTAATTAAGAATTGGACATTGGTCACTCATAAAGTATATCTGTAATAAAAAGCATATTGTAATTTATTTAAAATTCATTTATGCTAAAGGCAAAATTAAAAGGGGGGACTTATTCTATTAGTATAGTGCATCATTTTTAACATTAAAATAGTTTAAAATATATACTTAAGAGATTAATGGTACTAATAAGTGCTATCCATCCTAATTATTATCCTAACATGTTATATACAGTAAAAACTGTTTTACCAATTGTTAAACATTTTAAAACATTCTAACAACAGCAGTTCTGTGGTTTTTGTCATCTACAGTTTGAATCTAAGGCATTTACTACCTAACTCTCAGAAAATATCTCTAGCAATTGTCTTCAGTGTTTGTCTATTTAAATATTTCTTCTCATATGTTTTGTTTTGTATTTTCCTTGTAAAATTTTAATTGTTCTCTGTTGACATTTTGCAAATGTAGCATTAAAAAAATGCCCCCCCACATTACCTATAGAGAAAAAAAATTAAACTTAATAATAGGAAAAAAAAAAGACAAAAACAAATATGAAACCATGAGTTCAAACTTCTGTACAGCCAAAAAAAAAAAAAAAAGTGGGGACCTTCCTAAAACACACACACACACACAAAGAGAAATTTATTATTTTATACTTCAGGAGGGAGTCCAAAGTCAAGATGTCAGTAGAAGCAGAGGGCTGGTGGCTCATTTGTGTAATCCTCGCTACTCAAGAGGCAGAAATCAGGAGGATCATGGTTCAAAGCCAGCCTGGGCAAAAAATTTGAGAGAACCTATCTCAAAAATACTCATCACAAAAAAGGGGCTGGCAGAGTGGCTCAAGGTGAAGGTCCTGAGCTCAAGTACCACAAAAAAAGAAAAAAAAAGAGAGAGAGAGAGAAAATATCCAACACAAAAAAACAGGGCTGGCAGAGTGGCTCAAGTGGTAGAGCGCCTGCCTAACAAGCGTGAGGCCCTGAGTTTAAACCACAGTACAGTCCTGCTCTCTCCCCCACAAAAAAAGATGTCAGTAGGACTGATTTCTTTGGGGGCCTGAGAAGGTGAATCTGTTCCATGTCTCTTTCTGGCAAGGTTTGGCCTCTTGGTGAACTGTGACATGTTCCAATCTCAGTCACCTGGCGTCCTCCCTGTGTGTGCCTATCTCTGTTTCCTCTCCTTTTCTTATAAGGACAGCTATAAGACTGGACTTAGTATGAGCCATACTCTAGTATGATCTCAATTTTAACTAATACTACATTTATAAGGATCTTAACTCCAAATAAGGTCACATTGTGTGTTGCAGGTTGACATCGTTTTTGGAGGGACATTATTGAACCTCCTATAAGAAATATATTGCCAATTTATCCTGATTTTTATAATAGCTTCAATAAACTACTTTTAAAACAAGCACTAAAATTTGGCTTCTGTAAAATAATATATGACATGTTCAGCATGATACCTGTCCCAGAGGGACAGTGTTTGGCTCACTGGACAGAGGCTGACCTGTGGTAGCAGCATTGTAAAGGTTACTGTTCCACAAAGATGGTCATTGTCGTCATTGTCATTATTATTATTATTATTATTATTATTTGAACTCAGGGCTTTGCTCTTGCAAAGCGGGCCTTCTGCACTTGCCACTTGAGCTATACCTCTAGTCCATTTTGCTCTGGTTATTTTGGAGATGGGGGTCTTGTAAACTATGTACCCCAGCTGGCCTCAAACCGAGATCCTCTCAATCTCAGCCTCCCAAGCATTCATCATTTTCATACAGTCGTAGGCCAGTTGCATTGTTCTGACTTAACACTTTCCTACCAAGATATCTCTTACACCCAGTATTCAAAGCTAAGGTGGCTTACCATACTTAGCTCACATTCCACAGAAACACTGCATCCTTTGTCATTGTCCCCAGTGTTTGGCATTCAGTTTGTTCATCAACTCTATAATCATTTTAGTACTGTACTCTAAAAAGCAACAACTTAAATATCTTCTTCTCTTTTTTTTAAGAATAATTTAAAACATATAAACATCTAAAATTTCATAATTGTATTATCTCACTTAAATCTTTATAACCCCTTTGAAGGAAAATAAAAACCTTTTTAGTTTTCCTAAGGCAATCCCCTTATTTTGTTTTTTAATTTTTTGGTGGTACTGGAGTTTGAACTCAGGGTCTTATGCTTGCTAGGCAGGTGCTCTACCACATGAAACATGTCCCCAGCCCAAAAATCAGTTTTTTAAAAATGAGAAAATTAATGGTCTAAGTGATTACATGACTTAAATACACTATTTTGTTCCATCTTGATTGGTGGAGATGTAGTCACTTTATCCTCTATAGCATTTATGTATATTAGCCATATCCTAGGAGTTCGTTGTTGATCACCTGATAATAAAATGTAAAAATTTTTAGCAGGCACTGGTGGCTCATGCCTGTAATCTTAGCTACTTAGGAGGCAAATAGCTCGTGAGACCCTATCTGGACAAAGCCCATCACAAAAAGGGCAGGTGGAGTGACTCAAGGTATAGGTCCTGAGTTCAAACCCCAGTACCACAAGAAAAAAAATTAAAACTTTTATCAGTGTTTGCATATTTACTGTGTGTGGTAGATCATACTACCTCATTTATTTAAAAAAAGAAAGAAAAAGACTCATGATTATGTCTTTTTTTGACTGTTTTTGCTTTTTGAGACAGGGTCTCACTTTGTAGCCCAGGCTGGCTTCAAACTCACGATCCTCCTGCCTCTAACTCCTGCTTGGATTATAGGTACATGCCAGTACACCTGGCTTACTACCAAAACTTTGAAACTGGACCTGAAGTTATATTGCTAAAATCTATATTTGCCTTCTATCAGTTTGTTTCACACTCTACTCTATTGACTAGCTGTTTTCCTGTGTACTAAATTTTTGGGAGCTTAAAAATTTGAACAAATTCTTTGTCATTCTGAAAGCCCTTCAATATCATAAAACTAAACCTTGAGCAGGGTGCTTGTGGCTCACGTCTGTAATCCTAGATACTTCAGGAGGCAGAGATCGGGAGGACCGCATTTCAAAGCCAGCCCCAGGCAAAAAAAAAAAAAAAACAAAGAAACAGTCACAAATAAAGGGCTGGTGGAGTGACTCAAGGTGTAGGCCCTTAGTTCAAAGCCAGTACTGAAAAAAACATTTTTGAACATATAACTAGACAGGCAGGGAATTTTACAAACTGATTTGTAAAATCAAGACAAATTGTGCACTAATTTCAAATATTAGGTAGTGTACCTACTACCTGAATTTAGGAAGATGCTTTAGCACTTGAGCCATACCCCTAGCTCCCAACCAGCTGGATCAAAAGAAGCCACACCCAGCAAAATTCCTGCAGGTCACAAGCTACATATGCTTGGGATTTACTTGTATCTCAGAATGTACTACACTATCCTTTTGGTTTATTTTACCAACAGTCATTTCTATTCCTAACAGCTATATATTACATAGGAGGAAGCACTTAAAAACAAAACGAGATCTTGGTGCCTGTGTGCAAAAGACAAGACTACACTGTTTTTTAATTCACTGGGAGATGAACAAGAAAGTTCTCCATCTCTAATTTCTGTGACTGTGACATGTTAGTCTGGTATTCTACCACATATAAATTTATAACAGAACACAGATTTCACAAGTTGTGACTTGTCTGAACTCCCTTTTTTAAAATCTTGGATGTTTGCAGATGAAACGAACCCCATTACTTTCTAAATTGCACTTAAGAAAATAAAAATATAAACATTTGGCAGATCTGTTTCAGAACATTCTAAACCTCAGGAATCTTTAATGATGCAAACCCACACAGATTAAGCAACTTCATATAATTGACATTGCTTTGTAGTAGGTTTGGTGGAGATAAAGCATTTCAGCACATGTTCTGCACAAAGCGTTTGGGGAGTCTTAAGTTAGAGCTCTCAGAATTCCTTGTGAAAAGGACAAAAGAGAGACTTCCTGTCATTTCCATGGGTTTCTGCATGTGGGACCAATCTGGGCAATGCAAAGTTTAAACAGATGCAAATGGTGAAGGGAGGAGGCAATGCCACGCCTTGTTTTACATATTTCTCCATATCCAGACTGAATTTAAGTCACTCTCCCTGGAGCTTTCTGCATAGACTTCCCACTGAAGTTACTGCATGCTTGAATGGTCTATTTCACCAATATTTGCTTATGGAAATAAAGGGGAGTGACAGGGGAGAGGAGGGAGGACTGGAGGAGGGGCTTGAGGCCTGACCACAGCCCAGCACACCAGTAACCTTTGCTGATGTGATCATTAACCTTCCTGGAAAACGCAGCTGGTAGTTCTCTGAGGTCTGTCATTAGGATGTGAGGAGGGCCACGAGATATTACCCAGACTATTTACAGACCTCTTTTCTTGGAGAGCCATCGCTCCACTTGTGTGTGGCAGGAAGATGAGAGTTCAACAGTTTTTTTTGGTACTTTTTGTTTTTCTGATGAGTCTCCTCCTTATCAACGGACAGAGACCAGGTAGGACTTTGATACATTTGTGCTGGGTAACTTGTTTTTATGCCTGGTAGTGATTCTGCATCTCTGAGTGTGATCGTGCTTATACTGAAAGTTCTTTAGGTATGTGTGCAGTTAGTTTGAAATGTGTACGATTTTGGAAGTTTGCAATCTTGTTGGGACTATTGTTTGTGTATTTTTTTTAAGTGGCTGCATTTTAAATATTAATGCCTATTTACTATTATTTTCCTAAGAAAGCTGATCCCTAAGCTACCGTGGATAAACTGTCCTTACAAGTAAAAAGAAATTGAAATGTTGGTCTATTCATTATAGAGGTGAATAAACTAAAAGACTGAGATAAAATGCAAAATCTAAAGCAGTTTAACAAAAGAGCCTACAGGAGGGCAACAATTAACAGAATTATCATTATGTAAAAGTCACGATGTGAGAGATATACAGATGAAGTCATAAAATGAGTCAGTAGTTGCTATTTGTAGTTGTATAGTGATGTGTGTTTTTTAAAATAAAAGCACAGTTTTTATTATTATTACTGTGCTTATAGAGCCCAAAATATCAAAAATATATATGGTCAAGATGCATAATTGACATTTTTTCAAGGATGTTATCAATTACGTTGTATTTAATCAACAGATATTTAGTAGATAAAACTGTTTTAATGTGCTTCTACTTAAGAGCCAAATGCCTAAGATTTCAAGGCCCTGGTAAATAAAAAAAATTTCCGACACACAAAAACTGCAAACCCAAGTTTCAATAGAAAGGTGATAATAATTGCATCCAAATACATTACATTTTTCACTTGATCTATACTTCTTCCATTAGAACAGAAATAGTACATAACTAGTTAATGATTCAGACCCTACCTTTTAATTAAATTAGAAGTGTGGTCACTCTGAGGTTATTTCAAGTGATGTCCCCTGGTCTACTCTTTTACATAAATAGGAAAAAATTTCCAAGTCAGCAATTCCTTTCTTATTGTTTACAGTAATTGCTACTCAAGCCATTTCTACCCTTCCGAAATACAGAACACCTTGGGCAAGGTTCCTGTAAAATATTTGTAATTAACTTCCTATATAAAATAAGACCTAATGGCATTTTAGAAGAAATCATATAAAAGGAGGATATGAGCATTAAGATCTTTTTTAAAATTTATTTTTAAGCATATTATTGTTGCACTGGGGATACACTGTGACATTTACAAAAATGCTTATAATATATCTTAGTTAAGTTCACCCCTCCATCATTCTCCTTTATCTCCCTGTCCCTGTATGATCTTGCTGTTAACACTGCTAGGAATACACCTGTGTCTATGTATCTCATTAATTTTTTATATCATAATCACATTTGAACAAATGGCAAATGCTCATACATTCTCCAGGTTACACAATAATTCATTTTAAGTGCTCCTAATGTTTTTCGTTCCTTCAGCTAACTTGGCCCTGAGAAGAAAACTGTGCAGACCTAACTGCCCTCACAGGAGATGTGTGCCCCTCCACTCGAGAGTGCCCTTCCCATGAGGTACTTCTGAGAGGAAATACTTTTACTACCTGTAATTAACTACACCAAGTAATGCTTATTCCTATTTTGTAGTTTGTGGGAATGGCTCATAGTGATATAAAAGTTTAAGAGATGTGTACTGATGAATGGAGGAATGAAATGATGTGATGTTTTGGGAATTGTTTTTAAAGAAAATGGGGTAGAGTAGGAAAATCCTAATTTGGGGTTAATACTATTGTGTGTGTTTGAGAATTTTCATATCAAGCATCAGGAGAATTTAATTATAAAAGCAACTTAAAACATGTGTTTCAAAAAACACTGAAATCACCAGATGTTAGCCAGAAGAAACATATTTCCCATTTAGGCCAGTGTGGACTTGAAAGCATTTAGCCTGATTTGCCCAGTGACACCATAACAAGGACAGACAGGCCTCAACACTTCCAGGTTTAACACATAAAATCAACATAGTATCAATAGCATGGCAGCTTTTCCAGCCTCACTAACATATAGCAGTCAAACTCACACACTGCCAAAGTTGTCACTTCATACTAATAAATAATTTGCTTTGGCATTACATTGTAGTTACTTTAATGTCTTTAGTTCATTTAAAATATATCTTCCTAAGGAAAATCCTATAGAAATATCCTGCAGCTGGTTAACACATACAGGCATCGGCAGAATTAGCTTATTCAGTTGGTTTGTAGACTGTAGCTTTTATGGCTCTATTCATTCAGTGGAAAGAATGGTTGTCGTGCCTGCTGTTTAATACATGCTTTTCAAGTCCCGTGAAAGCCTTGGAGTAGGAAATTAAATTAAGAAAGAGCAACTAAGTAATAAGCATTTATCAGAAATTGAGACAAAAAGCCAAGTTTTCTATGCCTAGGTCTACAACAAATTACTCTTTGCTATCAGAATTATGAAAAGTAGTTGGGAATCCAGAAATTTCAATACAGTAGGAGGTTCCTGAGAAGCTAACTAACAGTGACTGAGACATGCTTTCAGTGCGTTTAATATGCTGAAATATCCTTTGGTGTATGTTGCTAATGCTTCCAACGGGGCTTTTCAATCTCATATTACAAAATAACAGTAAAATCTACGCTTAAGAGGAGTGAAGGTCCAGATTTTCCCAGCACTCCTCTATAAATAACAAAGAGGGAAAAAAGGCATTTCACAATAGCAAGAGAATTCCTACACATACAGAGAAAAATGTCTTACCAAATACAAACACAGAATCTTAGGTAGCCACAGTTTATCTTGGCTTTCACCACAAATCACACCTGCCATAAAAATTATGACTACAAGTAAACAAGACAGAGTAGTGAATTTTGAATTGTCAAAGTTAAGGGAAATTTTGACCTTTATAGTAGGTCAAGTTTGTAAACCAAAGGGAAATTTAAATAAAAGCTAAGTTAGCCAGTTAATAGTAACAATCTTTCACAAAAGTTAGCTGATAGCTTTCTAGACCTGTTCCATATGCTCAGTGTTTAGGCTAGTCCTGCCTCCAGCGACAGTTCTCTGAAAACTGTTAGTCACCTGCTGTCAACCTAGGTAGTAGACTCTAAGGCAAAACTTCCATTTTCTTTGTGCTTTAAATAAAAATCATATGTGGCTGTTTGATGCAGTTAGGGTTAAATAAGACTGTAACAGGTAGTTAAGGTAAACGATTGACTTTGGATGTTTTCCACATTAACACTTCAGTCTTTAGACCTTAAGCTTGTTTATTGGAATGCTCTTATCTTTATTCTGCTCATTTTGCCAGCCCCTAATGTCTTCCTGGATAACCTCAGCATGATTTTCTAGCCTGTATAACTGGGCCAATTAAGTAGAAAACAGTGCATTTCCTTGATGTTTTGTTTTTCCCTCACATAGATACCTTGGACCAACTTCAGTTCTAAATTAATTAGATGGAGAAGGGAATTACAATACATGTTCATAGTATAAAATTTATTTCTAACAGTACAGAAGTCAAAAGCAAAAGTCTCCCCACCCAGCCATGTCGTCCATTTTCACTTCTCAGAGGTAATGACTATAAAAAGAGTTTAGGTACAAGTGCCTTTTAGTGCATTAAATTACTCTATTGTCACGCTTGCTTACCATTCAAAATATGTGTCTATTTCTTTATTTTCTGCCATATTCTTACTACAGGACAGGCATGGGATTCTGACCCCCTTGACCAAACTTCTTGCTTTGCCTTCCATCTCTTTCAGCAATTGTCCTGTTCCCTTGGCCGCTCTCACTCCTCACTCCATTCTCTCTTTCTCTTAGGTCCAACTCCCCCTTCACCACAGAATCTCTACTTTAGTGGAGTACTTCATCCCTGATGTTAGTGGGGCTCTCTGGAAAAAACTTTCCTGCATTTTTAGGCACCCATCATCCTCCTTCAGATGTATTTCAAACCTTTAATGCCTTCTTTCTTTACTGTTGTGTGTGCACATGTGGTATTGGGGAGCGAACTCAGGGCCCCCAAGCATGGTAGACAAATGCTCATCCAGCTAGTTTCATTTCTTTTTGTTGTTGTTGTTGTTGCAGTTCTGGGGTTTGAACTCAGGACCTACACCTTGAGCCACTCCACCAGAGTGGAGTGATAGGGTCTGGAGAACTATTTGCCCTGTCTGGCTTCAAACCACGATCCTCCTGATCTCTGCCTCCTGAGTAGCTAGGATTACAGGTGTGAGCCACTGGTGCTTGGCTGTGTTTCATTTCTTAACTCTTCTTCATGGAGAAAATGGAGATTATTATGCTACCATGGTCTCACAGTGCTCTCTAGTGATCAGCCCATGTTCTCCTCTCAGGGAGATTTCTTGAAAAGGTTGCAGTGCAACTTCCTTCTCCTTTCAACACCCTTCTCCCCATTTCTTCCTGGGAGAGTTCTCTATTGACTTCCTTCTGAATCCAGTGAACACAGTTCAGTCCTAATGTCAGTTATTCATGACAGGTCACATGATGGAACGAGTTTTCCTTAGCTTCAATGACACCATGCCCCATTCTGACTGTTTCACCCTAGAACAGATCACTCTTCCTTTTAGGACCTGAACAGGGCAGCCAATTGCGTATTTGAAACCACCTTAGCTATTCTTTGGCACTTGGAGCTCAAGCCTACACTATATATGTAAATCTGTACTGTGGCTTCTGTGAGACTCACCCATATCAAATTTCTGTTCCAATATCCTATGTCATCAGGAAGGTCTTCCCTCATGACTCTTCTTTTAAAATGATAACATGTCACTCAACCCATGACATCCCATTCTCCTGATTTATTTTCTCTGTAACATCTATTGTCATCTGATATATATATATATATATAATACATATTCACTTTGCTTACTATCTGCCTGTCTTCATTACAGTGAAAACTCCATTTGAACAGGGACTTTGATCACATTTGTAATGCCCAGACTATAGCAAGCTTTCAAGAAATATTTGATAAATGGGGCTGGAGATGTAGTTCTGTGGTAGAGGGCTGTTACAAATTAGATATTCTCAATATATCAGGCCCTGTGCTATGAAAGATTACTAGTACATGTTACCATCTCACTCTTGGTTTTCTAGGCCTATCATTTTTGCTTTGAAGTAGTTCTTGAATCTGCCCCCCTTTTCATCGCTGCTACTGTCTTAGTGTCTTTTACAGCCCCCCAATATTACTGCTATTTCTTAACTGCTCTCTACAGTCTCCAGTTTTGGTCCTTTTTCTTTAATTTCTACCATCTGATCTTTCTAAACTGTGAATCCAGTTTCACAACTTGATTAAAATTCTTATTGTGCTTGTCGCCAGTGGCTCATCCCTGTAATTCCAGCAGGAGGGTCATGAGTTCAAGGCTTGATCAGGCTATACAGTGAGACCCTGTCTCAAAATGACAAAAAAGAAAAAATCCTTATCTCTCCCTATAGCTTTGCACTACAATGAAAATTCACATAATTTGACAAACAGCATCTTACAAAATGTGCCTCTGCTATCTCATCTGTCACCTTTTTTCCCTTCCCTCTTCCATACAGGATAAGATCTAAGACTCTGTTTATACCACATGTGTCAAGTTCTGGTCTCATAGCCCTCTCTGGTGAATGCTGGTAAGTCGCTTACTTCTCTAAGCCTCCCTCTACTTCCAGGTCTGTAGAATGGAGCAACCTATTGTACTGTCACAATACTTTGTACAGAGTGCTAAGTAAATAGTACTATGATTCTTTATTGTTACTATTACTTTAATTTTTCCGTACATATCTATATATCACATCCTAAGACTAAGCACTTCTCACTACTTTCACAGCTTTTTTCCTTTTAATTTTTGGTACCAGGTTTAAACCCAGGGCCTTACACGTGCTAAGTAAGTGCTGTACTTAGGTCACACACCTCCAGACCACTATTGCTTTAAAACCAACCCATTCTTCCCCTCTTGCTGTTCTTCAAACTATGCTTCTGCTGCAAGGTCTTTGCTAAACTTTTCCTCACTATCATTCATCCTCCAGGACATCTTCCTTGTTGTGATTCCCTACCAGTCGTATTAGATGCTCACTTTTTGGTCTCAGACCACTGTTTATACACTTCTGTCAAAGTGCTCTACTCACTACATTACAGTGTGTCGGCTGACTGACTGCTCCTCTTCTCCCTTTGCCTTTCCCCTCTTCCTTCTACTCTTCCCTCTGCTGGCTGTAAATTCCATAAAAGCAGAGGGTATGTTTGATTTATCTTTGTACCTTCACCCAAAAACAGTGCCTAGAACACAGCAGACACCCTACAAATGCTGCTAAAAGAAATAAAACAAGACTTTTACTTATTGTCTTAGCATGTAAAGCTGTCATGAAACCCTAACACACATTTTTAGCTTTCTTTCCTAATATTACCTGCTGGGCCAAACTGACTTCCTGTCTCTGTGCTGGAGATATTTCACCTTCTAGGAATTCCTTCCCTCATCTTAAGTCTAAACTCTGTCCCTCCCCAGGTTCTTTTCAAATTTCATTTTCTTCATGAGACCTACCTACATTCAATTAAAATAATCTCTATGGGCCGGTAGAGTGGCTTAAGGTG